CGGATTCAAAAATATCCGGATACGTGTGGACGGGGCCTGAATTACAACCGACTAGATCTGTTAAAAAGTTTCTGTTAAAAAGATCGATATCACTGACGGAATGTGATACAATCGCCAATTTAACCACCTCAGTTTCTCTGCATTAACCAGGTAAACCGTTTTCATCTTATAAAACTGGGGAAACAGAAGACCTAATTGTATGTTAAGCTCTCTGCGGGTGGTCATTGATTTACACTGAAAAGGTTGTTCAGAACTTGCGAAAACTTGGAGATTCAATCGGATAGTAATCATATTTGTTGTTTTAAAAGTATTGATCAAGCGTCTTTTAAGCTTTGAATTATATATACTGATGAATCGAACAAATAGACAAGATACAAAAAAAAAAAAAAGAGAGAAAGAAACTCCGGGGCAAGTTTTGTATGTTGTTGCTCAAGCGTTAAATTATGTATTAAAAGCAGATTTTATCATGCTAGCTAGATGTTAAAAATATAAAGGACCCTCTGATCCCGTTCCCTTAAAGAAATGGCGCACGACTGTAGCATATGAAAATCAGAACTTTTGGATACATTTATGTCTAGCACGGAAACTGCCTTCATTGTTCCTGGAATATCACGTCTATCAAGTTTCTAATCTAGTTGAAGTAGAGTCCCCTAACATGACATTTGAAGTTCTTCAATGAGGTTATTTTAACCAATCAATTGCAAGCTGGACTTGTTTACGTCATTCGGAACAAGCATTGGCTTTCTTTTTTCTTTAATTCTCTTTGCAAACAATTGCAAGCTCGATGTTAAACTGATCGGTGTGTTATGAAGTAAATCTATCTCCTTTGCGGCCGGCAAGTACATCGAATGACAATGTCACTGATAACTTAGAGAATTTTGGCCAAATAACAATACCCTGATCATGAGATCAGATGCCATTTGACATCATTCATGATCTTATATGCGTTGCGGCTTGTGTGTTGAAATAGACAGGGTTGTCAACATACGTTGGAGCCCGAACGTGGTTCACGAATTTGGATGGACATTTTTGTGGGGACAGCTTTCGTCTTCCTTATCAGAGACTGTCCGTTTGGTTTCCGTAAATGCTGGGACAATATCCTCTACCTCAAGCCGAAAATGCCATGTAATCAGAAAACTAAAGAAAAGCCCATTTTTTTTTTTTTTTTTAAAATAAAAGCGTTATCTGCCATTAAACGAAACTAAAAATTGAATGGCCAAGGTCTTCTCGAGCAATGTAAAAGAAATATCTACATAATCCCAGTACCGCGCGTCAAAATCTTCACAAAGAAGAAGCTATTTNCACTGCTTTTAGCTTGAATTTTGGCCGAAAACAATAATATATTTGACTGTCATATTTTATTCCGGCCACTCCGAAAGAATTAGTAATAAAGAATGGACTGTAATGGCAGCCGCGTTCATGTTTTGTACACGAAGAGAAGACTATAAAACCATATCATCACCTTAACTTTGGGAATGTTTGCATTTATTTTATTCTGTTCGCAGATATATTCACCCTGCCATTATTCGTGAGTTTACTGCGCATCCATTCACTCAACATTTTCCCCTCATTCTAAATCCAAAAGAATGAAGGTGTTTTTGTTTGGTTGGTTGGTTGTGTTTTTCCGTAAAATTGAGCTTTCCGCTTTTTATTACAAGTCGCGAAACTTGGATAAAAACACAACTGCAATTGCTTATTATTGGATTAGAAAATTCGACGTGACGCAGTCTTAGAATCTTCCTCTAAGCATTAGAATGTTTATGCTCTTAAATGATGCTTGAAATTGTGCGCGTTTGTAAATCCCTTTCTTGAGACGAAAGGGGTCTCAAGCAAAAATTTTTTCAGTCAATGATTTATCATGATACAGTACTGACAATGTGTACGACACAGCAGATAGTTGGTGTCCATCATGTCTTATTTAGTTTGCTCGTGGTTTATCGAAAACAATTGATTATGAAGACTAACCCTCAACAATAGATAACAGATAAAATCGTATTACAGTGATGGAAAGTGCTCCACCACCTCAAAGAGCTTTTAAGCAGTTTATACAATCCACATTATTAGCAGTTTTACGCAAGACAAACTAACGTCGCATTTGCATGTTTTCATTTAATTATCATTTTGAAAAAAAAAAAAAAAACTGAAAAGCTGAAAAACTTCAACTCTGCTGTATTTCAGCTCAACTTGTATGAATACATGTACTAACATGTAAAAGCCTTTTTCTTCTTTTTTTTTTTTCCTTGTCCAAACTGGCAATGCAAACATCTTGACAATCCCCTATAAAAGGAAAGGCATTTAATTTCTATTTTAAAATTTAGCCATGCACAATTCTTTCATCAATTTTGTTTCAAAATGTAAGGCCATTTCTTCCAAGACGTTTGTTATCTTTTACCGCTTTTGACACATTGATTTTTTGTTCATGTGCTTTCCATGTAACAATGATATTTGTTAACTGATTAAACTGCTGTACCGTCCAATTGATTTTTCAAATTCAATACTATATTTTGAACTTACTTTTAACTCGTTATTTCAAAATGTACCGGGGATGGTACTAGAAGGTCTGTTGCTGTTGTTTTTTGGCGTTTTGTTGTAATGTGAAGGAAGATTGGTCCACTCTGTCTAGTTCTAACATAACAGGTCCAAATATTGACAGGAAAACGCAAACTGAACTCCTGAACAAACAGTACAACTGTAGTAGTCTTCTGTCAGCTCTAGACCCCAAAGATGATAAAGATATGAACATAATATTTCTTGTTATTGACAAACTGATTTAAATAAAGTGGAAACCAGTTTTTTTCCAAGTTTTGTGCCAGTATGAAGTGAAATTTTCTACCAGACCAATATGATTTTCCCCCAACTTCTTTGTAGCTAATAAGGGAAGCTTCTTTGTAGAGTTTAAAGAAATTAAAGATCCAGCAAGGAAATGAAATATCAATTCAAATTTACACTGTTTTGAGCCGGCTCACGTTTAATTTAGGTTTTTAAGTTGATCTTTTGAACCACGCACAGTTGTCGAGTAATAGGGGGAACTTGAGTACTTGTGAGATCTTCGGACGCTTTTACGGAAAAATAACAAGCAGTCGATTACGGAAATGACATTAAATGATTCATGTAGAGCTTTTTGACGAAAGGGAATACAGGGAAGAAGAATTAATAGATAAAAAAATGGTCGCTGAAAAGTTACCAGTTCCTGGGTTTTCGTAACAGCCTCATTTCCGCATGTCGACTTAAGTTACAATTGTAAAGTAGACATTTTGAGGCACTGTTGTTTATATTTGACAGAGTTTATGAAACTGCTGGGAGGCATCAGAATGTAGTTGGTCTCATCGAAATTCTCCTATCGACTTCCACCCGCGGAACGGGAAAATTGACAGCAGAGATTCAAGAAAACGAATCACAGTCTTGCCCCTTTTTTGTAATACCAAAAAAGAAAAATGAGCGATAGAAATTTTACACAACGTTTCGATGTCGTCATGACATCATTATCAAGTGAAAAGAAAATAACAATTCAACAGTGTTATCGCTCATTTTATTTTGAAATGTTTATCGAAATTTAATCTCATTCAAAAAAGAAAAAAAAAAAACTTTTCCAAAAAATGAACATAATAGCATTTTTGGGTCAATAAGCATGTTATGCATGTAGAGGAAGCTAAAAGCGGGTCAACAATGTCCTTCATGATCTTTAATCTAAAGAATGGTATCTGTGATGTTTTGGTAATATTGTACAACAAAGCGACTGCACAACCACATTTGTCGCCAAATCGGAGAAGGATTGGGGAGATAGTAAAACAATTAGCAATTATCGGACGAGGTTGATCAAAATATCGTGATTTGTCAGTGGCGAGCGGGTCAATTATTTACCGAAGCTGAAGGCTTAGGCAAACAATTGATCCGCGAAACACTGACAAATCACGATATTCGGCGATAACCGAGTTCAATAATTGTTTTATCTCTTGATCACCAAGGTTGGTTTCATAGTTAAATCACTCTCTGATAGCTCGAGAGAGCGATCTAGCATTCTGCACACAAGAGCGTGGTTACTATTACGCTTGGGCAGAATATTATTTGCAGCAAAACACATGTAGGCGGTATTACGCAAAAGCAAAATATTATTTGAAGGCAGGTTTTCTCAGGTCACGTGGTGGGCTCTCGGCCATTGAAAATGAATGCATCGTATGATATGATTTGTGCCACGTCAGTGGCTGTCTTTACTGACATTGTTATTTGACACAGACAAACAGCCAAATGTATATATTTCTTTGTTGTTTCTACTAAGTACGTCTATTCTTCGTCTATTCTTCGTTATTAGGTAAATATTACAAGAATGAAATATATATTATTAACGTTATATACGTCGTGTGCATATAGTGTCAACAGTCATCGATAAATTGTTTCCCTCGAGGTTAATAATCTTGGTTATTTACTTTCTGTAAGGAAGATCATCTGCATTTTTTCGCCTATTGGGGAAAGGCATCCATCTTTTCTGTTTTAAAAGAAAAAAAAAACCCCGAACAGTCGGGAAAAAATGATAAATTAAAAATCGAAAAGTTAGATGTCGTGAGTCATAACACCTTTACCATCATACATACACTCGCTATAAGTCGTTGTATATCTTAATCGTAACCATAGTTAATGGAAGGACATGGCTATGAAACCTGGCAAAGTTCTTTGTTGCATGTTTCTGTTGGCTATTTTGGCTATTTTGACCCGGCACAAAACCTGGTAAAATACAAAATGTGGTCATGTGTGCTCATACAACTGACCAGTAAAATCATTGCGATTATGTAATTCATGTATAGTCAATGACCATAAAACAAAAGATGTGCAGGGTCAAGGGCCTTCCAACATAAATCTTCGCCTGTTTGTTTACTTCTTTGATGTTTACCGGCCTTCCTAACCTTTTCCCTCCATTAACTATGACGTGACCCACTGATCGACTATCAGGTAAACACGTAATGTAATATTGACTATGCAGACGCCGTGTAATCGTACGACTACGGATGCGATTAAGTATTTTACCACAATTACTACTAATCTCGCAATCTGATTGGTTAATTTGCCGTTGTCGATAAGAGTCCAGACAACCCCACTCGCGTCAATGTGTCACGCTCTGAAAAAAACATTTTCTTTGACGTTGATATTGTGGTAAAAAACAAATCGGATGTGGTTTAGCGTTATCTGTACTTTTATCGACAACGATAAGCGTCATCACAGTGGTCAAAATTTGTTGTGGACTCACTCGATCGGTTGCGCCTTGTGAGTCCACAACATTTTGACTACTGTGATGATTTATGCCGTTGTCGCTAAACCACATTCGATTTGTTAATTTACCCAACGAGTGATATTTGAAAATGTTCACAGAAGAAAAACTATTCAAATATCATGAGTAGTAGGTAAATCCTTGACTGCTCGAGCTTTTATATGATTACTCATTTACCTTTTTGACCGAAAAAAAATTACAAACATGTGCGTGCTTATTTAAAGTACAAATTACAGAAGTGCAAATTAAAAATTAACGATGAATTGGCCTGCTCTCAGCCAATCACAATTAAGAAATTTTGTAAGTCATCAAATAAAACGGTTAATTAGACAATACTGTGAGTCTTTCAATCTCTGAAAAAGGCTTTTACTCTTCGCGTTTCTCAAACAATTTTTTTTTTAGTTGATAGATCGCTCAGTGGGTTATCAGTTAAGACAATCAGGCGGCTCGCTCTCAATCTCTCTAGCTGACTCAGGGCTTCGCACTTCGCCAACTCTTAGGGTACCTTAGGTAACTATCAAGGTATATGTCCAGGTATGAAAAATCTATTAAATGATTGAAACAAACAAAACAACAACAGCCAAAAAAAAAAAGAAAAAAAGAAACTAAACCAACAACAACAGCAACAAAAACAACCACCACCAACAACACAGGCAACCCAAGCTGTCTATCAGATTTCCTTGGACGTTACCCTTGCTCATAAGCGATGTTGTGTTACAAAGATTCGATTTTTAAGGGCTTGTATGGGAACGCAACGGTTTTGCTTTAAAAGTCAATTATTCTTATATTTTGTGAATAAAATCTACTTATCCTGTTACTGTAATGTATTCTTTGTTCTTTGCCAGCTTCTCAGGCCGACCTAACGCGATTTCGGCGAATTATCGTTGTGTGGGTTTCCGGCACTGCTAAAGGAGAGAGTCACAGCGATAACTCGTCGAAATCGCGTTAGCTCGGCCTGAGAAAGCTGGCAAACAACAAAGAATGCAACACAGTAACAGGGTAGGTAGATTTTATTCACAAAATATAATAATAATTGACTTTTAAAGCAAAACCGTTGCGTTCCCATACAAACCCTATAAATCGAATCTTTGTACCAAGGTAATCTGATAGAGAGCTTGGGCTGTCTGTGACAACAACAGCAAAACAAACAAACAAACAAACAAACAAACAAACAAACAGACATCAAGAAACAAATAGAATGATAAAGAGAAGATTTCTTTTTACCCCATTTTGATTTTCGCAACCGATCCAGGTCATTCCACAGATCCGCTTGCGTTGTTGGTGTTGTTCGACTGGTAAATCTCTAAGTCCTTGCGCAGACGTTTCATCCTCGCCCACAGGAACAACCGGTAACGGTTTAACAGCATTCGACAGCAGCAAGAGAGTGGCCATTGTCAAAAGTAACGTGGTTAAGACTTGCATTGTGTAGATCTGCTTTCTTGACTTGTTATTAACACTGTAGTTTCAGTCACTGCGAGGAATTAGATTTAGTAAGTTTCACTGAATATTTTATCTCTCTATTATTATCTCGTTCTCGCGCCACTTAAAAGCTGGTTAGGGTCGTAATTGAAAGATACTTTTTGGTAAGTTAAAGAGTTATCGCCCACTCGAGACTGTCCCTTTGACAATGTCCATTGTGTCAAAATTAAGATGAAACATACTCTGTTTCCTTTTTCACCCTGAGTTCAAGTTAAAAAACTTAGTCTTTCTCTCCTAAGTTTTCAAAGTATCAATGTTAGTTCTGTGTATGCTATGTTTATTTGGCGAGACTCCCCTGTTAATAATTAGGCGTTGACCAAAAGAACTTGTAGTGTAGTATATACAACCATGTGCTAGACAGCTTGAATGAAATTCAACATTATCTGTTAAAAAGAAAAGGAATCCAACTGAGGCCCCGTCCACACGTCTCCGGATATTTTTAATTTGAATCCGCAACTTTTTCTTTCCGGATTCAAAAA